TGATAGCAAACAATGCTAAAGTGTGTATTTATAACCAAATCCTAACAGGCTCCACTTTGAAATGAACAATGATAAATTAATGAATTACTTTAGCATATTTAGCATACTTTAGCGAATTTATTTCTGCAAATGGCGAGAAAAGTCAAACAGGAAGTCAGACAGAAACAGGGCTTTACACATAGAGCCCCCCCAGCACCACTCAAATCACTCAAAACGTCTTTTTTTCTGATGGACCCTGATGTTCCTCTGTCCAAAGCACACACCATGGCCAGGTTTGGAGGAATATATTCCCAGCAAGCCATTGTTCAATCTCAAACGTCTTTTTTCAGCTCAGCTGGTGTCTCCCCCTCTCCAAAACAAACTAGTTCTGCTGCGTCGCCCCCTATTGGTCGACCCATTCATGTCATGCCTCGTTTCGGAGGTCTTTTTCTCAGCTTTCAGCCAATGTGACCCCAGTCCTGCCCACCCAGGACGTGGTGGGCAGGACGGGTCAGTGGGTCCCAGATCTCAGCCAGGTCCCTCCAGCTCTGTGTTTCTCTCCTTCAGGCCCTCTCATAGGCTCAAGCCCATATTATAAAGAGCCCAAATATTCATTGTCCAACACTCTAACAAATAATGTAATGGGTTTACTCAAAAAAATATGTTTACTTTTTGCATGGATCTTTTTAAGTTGTCCTAACTTCATTGTTAATTGAGTAATCGCTACTAGTCCAGCATAACAACACCAACTTAAATAGCCAAATAAATACAAAGCTATCTCAAGTTGAATCTATTTATTTTTTTGTTTAAATTATTGAATTGTCACATTGGTTGTATCTGATATATGTTTCAGGTACAACAAAAAATTAAGAACAACGGCCATGTTTTTATACATATATTCAAGAGAAATCAAGTAGTGCTTACTTAATTAATGAGTATTCCTTAAAATGTTGTTATCTCATAATTCCAATTTAAGTTGTTGTAAGTGTTTACATAAACATTTTCAACTCAAAAAAGTCCATGCAAAAAGTAAACATTAATTATAGTATATGCAACTAATTTTTCTCAGGTTGAGGGAAATAAAGAACAGGAACCATATTTCACAATAAAAACAGTTTATTTTATGAACATTTTGTACAAATTAAGTGCAAATATTTTAATAACAGCACCATTGAAAACTTGCCATTTATAATTCTCTTATTTCATAGCTGTTTAACTTTCATTTCCATCTTTAATGATCTTTCTGTTGCAATATTGTTTTTATGTGTTACAGTGTAGTTTTTTACTGTGTGTGTAGTGTCTTTATAGTGTGTTAGTGTGCGTGTAGTATGTCACAGTATGTAATGTGTGTAGTATGTGTTTACAGTGTAATGTTAAAGTAGTTAAACAACTCTAACCAAGTTGAGTCAGTAACTTTAAACGACTGTGACTCTTACTGATGTAGGACATTTCTGCATTTTGGCAAAATGAATGAACTATTTGTATGGATAACCATAAAGGCAAATATATCACCACCAAAAACATTTAACATTCTGGGTCAGCTGAAAACAATACACTCACCAATATTCCAGCTCTCAAACATGACTATCAACGTCAAAGACCCGAATAACATGAACAGCAACCAGATGTGGGTTGAAAGACATTACACTGCATAAATTAGGAAAAGCCACTTGAACAGCAAGTCCATCACAGCACAAATGAGGTTCCCATTTTTGATTTTCAGCTTTGAGGCTCAAAGGGGTTTCCTAGCAGCTTTTGCTTTAGAGATGTGACTTTTGGGCTGCATTTCTGACGGTCTAATTTAAGGAACACCTTCTGAAATACCTCGCAAGTGTACTTCAGCTCCCGTGGGTAGCTTAGATTGAGGGCATAAATGAGCCCCATCAGCAAAGCACAGGCCCTTGGCACATCCAACCCTTGCGGGACCTCTGTGCCCTCTATGATGATGGTTGTGCTGGCTGGATCAGATGCTGTAGTACCTTTGGTGACTAGAATCTTCACCACCCGACTCTCAAAATCTCCAATTTGGATCTCAGAATCCTGAAAGCAAGAATATCAGAAACAAATATCAGTATCAGTATATCATTAAGCTGCCACACTCAATACAATATATAAAAATAACTTAACATTTCCTGTAATGTCCTGGTATCTAATTTTTCCAGGTTTACAGCTTTAAAATCATGTACATAGTTTTCTCAGTATTTTAAAAGTCCCAGGTCGTGGTGTGTTTGCGTGTGCGCCAATAGAAAGGGGATCCTTTGTTGCTGAGTACCGTGGGGAGTTGATATCAAAACACAAACGTGAAAAGAGACAGAAAAAGTACACCGAGAAGCAAAATGCTTTCTTGTTTGATTTTAAGTTGTTAGAATTGGGCTATAATTACTTACTTTAGCATTACATGCTATAACTATTCCTTTTAGATTCATATTATTCCATTTATATTTCTACTTTTGGGTTAAACTCTCTGGCTGTGCCTCCTCATCCCCATCTCTCTGTTACAATAGATACACGTCTTCAAGGTCAACATACACACACACATTTTCTTATCACATTCCCACGAAACCTGCATGAACAAAGAGCCTCTGGCCTGATCATGACCAAACTAACTGGCCAATGATGCTCGGCTACGCCCAACCGTCTTCCCCCTTCGAGGCCCGGCCCAGAGGATAACTACCCATTGCATCCGGGAATCGAGGCTCTTGCCAACTGAGATCCTCCGGGAACTTTGTCTGTGAGAGCCCAGCGCTGATTTACTTTGCTTGTGACCAATAAATGTCATATTTGTACTCTTGATCTACTCTGGTTTATTCTCAGGCTTCCAACTAAAGAACCGAATCTATCAAAGTGGAACGGAGATATATGGTGGTAAGTAGAGGTCTACAAAACCATGTTCTTTGCAGCCTTATGGTTTTAGAGAAAAACACAGATAACTCTCCATCTTCTAATTTAGCATTGATGCCTCCAATGAAGATGGCTCCTTTGGCCGGTTGGTCAATGATAGTCATAAATCCCCAAACTGCAAAATGAAAAAGCTGACTGTCCAGGGTAAACATCATCTTTGCTTGTTTGCTCATAAAAATATCCAAGCAGAGCGTGAACTAACATATGACTATGGAGATGCTCCATGGCCATGGCGAGCTCTGGTAAGTTAATCTTTCATTAAACATTGTATGATGACAGTCTGCCTGATTAAAGATAAAAAATATGCACCCTACTAGTACATTTTTGTACATTGCAGACATGCAACCATGTTAATTCTTTCTATAGGGTCCAGTAGAATTATCCTATCCTTAGTTGGTAAAATAGATTCAACATGCTTTTAGTGTTTTTTTTGTTCTCTTTTGGTCTAAATAATTATAAGTGTGTCACAATGTCCTCGTATTGTCTTAATGTTGAAAGACTTGATAGTGTTTGATTTGACGTCCACATGTAGTTTGAATAACCATTAGTGTGTGTATCACAATGTCCTCATATTGTTGAGGGCGAGATACACTAATATGTTAATCTGTCTATAGGGTTCAGGAGAATTGGCTTCCACCCTCATTGTATTAGGATGTTCATTAGTTTATTACTGAATGAATTTAAAAGTGTATTTGTTTGTTTTGTTGCAGACACCAAGTGTACAGATCCTGAATGAACCCTCAGTAGAGCCAGAAACAGGCAGTACATCCACCTCAACCTTCCAACAGGTTATTACACACGTCTATTTCCAATTAAACCCCAAAAAAATGTCTCAGGTGGGTCCAGTGCATAGGAATAATGCCTGTCAGCAATCTTTGTGAGTAAAAGTTTCACTATATCGTCATTGCTATGACTTGTTCTAGTATATTTTGGCAGAAATACTTTGGTTTCATCCATTCTGAGTACCAACATCCCCTTTAAAAAGTTGCTTATGGTTACTTTGAAGTATAATTTGATATTTTCTGTAGTTTTACACATGTTTTTGTCTGTATAACCTCCTACCAAAGGGTTTACATGGAGGAATTACTTAGAAAGTAGATCTATTTATAGTCTGCTTTGGTTCAGAACTATCTTTGACAACATTAGAAGCAATCAGTGACACCTCTGTTCAACTTACTAAAGTGATTCATTAATGGCAACAATGTTCAGCACTAATAGATTAAAAAAGTACAAGTTTCTGAATAATTGAAAAATGGTTAACCTCATTAATAAGAAAGATCTGTTCCTGCACAACAGCTGTGAAAATGCCAAAGAACGCTCATGAATGCGGAAAAAATATGGAAAAAATAGCAACACTCAGTGGGAAAACACATTAAAATGTGACAGTCAGTAATCTGAAAGTTAATAAGCATAGCTGAAGGTTTTTCCCTCCAAAAAAGCGGCTTGTGACATCTTTTCCTGTGTTACTGGAGACTGGTGAGTCCAGATGAAAGCTGCAACACTTGGCAGTTACTGTCCTCAGCAAGCAGCCATTTTAAAGAAGCCCCTCCCACTTCTCACAGACACTCAGTCTCACAGGAGCCTGGTGCAGCAAAGCCACCTGCAGCCAGAGAGAGGAGAGCCA